CTAGTTCTGGCTTAGGAATCACCTCTTCCAGAGCAGGATCCTGTGTCATTTTCTTCCCTCCAAAGAGGCTTCGTGCCCCTCTTGGGTACTCTCTCATCACCTTTAACATGGCCTTTCTCCGATATTATAATTATCTGTTTATGTTGTTGCCTCCCCTATTATAATGAACAAATTAGGGCAGGGTAGAGTCTGACTGATCAGCATTCATGCAGCTGGGAGAACGCAGCTTGAGCTAAACATGTTTGTAAAGGGGCACCACGGGCCTTTGGAGAAGGTAGGCAGAAATGCAAAATCTAGGTTCAGAGTCAGGGTAGGAACAGAACAAGCAAAACAAACAAAAACAAGAGTCTTTTATCAGAGGTTCAGTTGTAACATTTTGGCATATTTGTGGAGCCCTCCCACATAGCCACATTTGTCTCCAAACATCTCAAATAAGGTGCTTTGGGATCTTTGGTTTGCTCTTGGTTACCTACCACCGCTATTTTCTGAAATTTTCAGGAAAAAAAATGTTTTTTAATTTCAACAATCACAACAGCAGGAAAACATCTAATAATCTTTTTCTGAAAAGCTGTGTTTATTCTTCATTGTCCTAGAAAGGATGGACATGTGCTTCACTCACACAGCCTTAGCTACTTCATTCACAGGAAGAAAAAGGAAAACTTCTAGTGCTTGTAACACAAAGCCAAGTGTCTTTGTGTTAATAATAGGGTTTGTGAGGGTATTTTTTTCCTGTCTTTATTCTGTTGCCATCAAAGGAGGAACCAATTAGACCAAATAATAATATTTAAAATCTGACAGTCTCGGGAGCCTGTAAGGAAAACCTAAATCTGCCATGTGGACACTTCAGAGCCTGTATTCTACCCATGACCAGGGACTCACCCCTGCCTGAAGCCACACACACTTCCTGTGCCTGGACTTAGCGGAACTAATTAGAAAGAGAGCTCGAATTCTCTGCATATGAATGTCACTCCTTATATTTGTTGATGCAAGTTAGAGTCCCTCTTCATGTCTTGTGAGAACAAAAACAGATCTCCTAGAACACAGTGAAGTGTGTAGAATACTCAACCTGTCCTTGTAACTGCCTACACAAAGCAAAAAAAGGTCTGAAAGGGGTCGTAACATGAAGTGTTTGTGCAAAGACCTAGGCCTTCTGAGACTGCATGGACAAAAGAATTAAACAGCAAAAGCAATTTGAAGTATTTGTGTATTTTGTTGTTGTGACTTCTCCCCATATCCTCTTCTTTTCTTTTTAACGTTAACTATGTCTTTGGTAAAGGTTTAAAAATTGTTAAGTCTTTTATAAAGGAAGACAAATATCTAGTTTTTAGTGTGAGCCAGATACTATGCATTGCTTTTATTGAACTAGCCAGAGAGTGCGTGTTTTTCTTTGTGTCGCAGGCAGCTCTGTGCACATGTATGTGCCTCGGGACTAAGGGGCACATGACTGTTTCCTGCACTGCCATCATGTGTGTTTGTGCCGTAGCACAGCCATGCACGGAAGTTTGTGTGTGCCTAAATGTGGCTGTGTGCAAAAGGAAAAAGACTCCTGTTCCATTATTCCAAGCAATTAAACTCCGACAGCACAGGGATGAAGGGGAGGCCCTGATTTTCTTTTCCTTTGCAGTAATTGCCACAGCAATCATCTTTGATCAGGGAAGAGCAGAGGAGGAGAGTCCCGGAAGTTGACATCCGTGGTATAAATATATACATTTACATACACGGGGGCAGCGCGACTCCACTGCTTTTTACTGACGTGTCTGACCTGAAACCATTGTAGCTCCACTGACACTTCATTTAATTGAATTCTTCCCCAGCAGTGCAGGAGCCGAAGGACTTGAAAGGGGGAGGGGAGTGGAAGGATGGGTAATCAAGGCTGACTCTTCTGCCTGAATGTCTAGAAATGATAGGAAAGTAATTGCTTTTGAAAAGAAAAAAACAACAACTGAAATAGCACAATTTGTTCTATTTAGCAAGATGCTAAAAAGGGATAAATAGATGAGGGTCTTGCCCCAAGTATACCAAAATCCCTACCCTGAGAATAAAACTAATTTGGATTTCTCTGCAAATAGGAATGAAATGGTATTTTAAAATGAAGAAGAAAGAAAATACAATCCTAAAAAAAAGAAAAATCCTGAGATTCCCTGCTTCAAAATGGCCAGATACAATAGGAAGTTCATTCTGAGCCCAGAGCCATTGCACGGCCCCTTTTGTCAGCCTCAAATCAGCGAGCTGGAGGGTCGAATCCATTTAACCTGCCCCTGTGGCACATCACCCACCCGCCTGACCCCAGAGCGGCCTCATTTTTATGGATGCAGAAGCTCACAGTGTAATTCATTCCCCGGCACACCCCGCTCATTCAGTCGCCTGCTTTTGCCACCGAGGTGCACTGCATATTCTCTGCTAGCTGAACTGGTGAGATATCAGTCAGCTTCCTGCTTAATGCAGGAGTTAGCCCACCTTACAGCTGCTAAGGAGTAATGTCCCTTACCGGGCATCTATCTGGGGGCCTACGTCAGCCATGCAAATTAGCACATGTACACAAACTCAGGGTCTTCAAGAAATCAATCTGGACCTGGAGGAATCAGGCAGCAGATTTAGGAAAAATAAAATCTAAAAGATATTAAATAACCTTCACCTTTGTCATCAGCTCTCCATATTTGCCTTTTTTGGTCATATGTCAATGAGAACATGAAAGCATGTGCACAGCAGGCAGCTGCTTTGCCCTTGGATTTAGTACATGGTACAATGGAAAACAAAACAAAAAATGGCTTAATAACAATGCATTACTTGTATGTGGTGCCGTTACAAAGAACTCTCACATACATTGTTACATTTATTTATACCTTTTAACAACCATGTGTAGTAGCAGTAGCAGCAGCTTCTCCATGACTCCATTATAGCAGTAGCAGCAGCTTCTTCATGACTCCATTATACAGGTCAGGAAACTGAGGCTCATAGAGTTTAAAGAACTCACACAAGTTCTCATTGCTGAGAAGCAGCAGAGGAGGGAGTCCTAGGTTCAGCAAGAGGGATCCAATTCTGACTTGAGGAGTCCATGAGATTAAGGGAGGGTATCCACTCATTTCTTACCAGCACTCCCCACCTCTGGACAACATTACACTACCCAGTACTCCAGAATTTCAACTGGGCTTCTGAAACCTGTCTAGGATTTCAGAAGGATTTCAGGCCATCCTTCTGGTCTACATCCCTAGACCCAAGGGCTAGACAAAGGATGACTGTTTGTGGGCGTGGGGAATGAATATTGGATGTGATGGTATAAGGCTCACACATGTGTGCATAAAACCATTCATAGTAAGAGACAAAGCCAGGGAGGAAAGAGAAGGGAAATGGATTGCAGTCTGGGGGCCGTGAGCTAACTCCCCTCACAGCCATGGTCTAAAGTCCAAGGACTCCTAAACTAGAATGTGGCCTTCCAGTGTTTTATGAAAGTATATATTTGTCAAAGTAGGAAGATAGAACATGTCTTATGCTGCCATTTGATATGTAACTTTTAAATATTTATACATATGGTATGTAGACCTCCATTTAAGCTCTCACCCCAAAATATTAGAGGTAGGCTGGTTGAAGTGTCATTGGTGTACATGGTAGAGATGAATGAAAATTTGGAAGAGATTACATAATCTAGATTGGCATAAATTTTTATTAGTTCCCTTAAGGGGTCAAAAATCTATTGACCGTCATAATTACAGCAGTCTTCCCAACAATTTATTAAAGGTTGAAGTAACAATATCTCTAATAGTTAAGGGTACTAATGATAAATCTAATGACAAAGTAAATAGGATTTTATGTTTTATAAATGTATTAACACAGTTGTTGGTTAATTACATTGCCACGTTTTTAAATAATATGATATTGGCCCCAAAGTATTAGTACCCTGGATAATAGTGAAACATTTCCTCCAGGCAATTATTAAATCCTCCTCAGCGGCAAGAGAAAGATTAAAACGTTGTCCCAGATTCATGACTACGTTGATCAGAAGGAGAGTCAATTCTGTGAGAAGGCAGTGCAACACAGATGAGATCATCTAGTCATGTGGCTTCAGTTAGGAGCTCACATCTGGTTTCTATAGAGATCCCCTTGCTAACCTAAGGGGCACACCAAATCTCACTTCTTCCATGAAGGTCTCTCTCCTAATACTGAACTTCCATAGCAGTCTGAATCTCTAAGGCATAAATATGCTCTTTCTTCATTAGTCATTGTATCTCTTATATCTTGTAATAGATTGTATAGGTCTGGAAACCTGTAACTTTCACCTTTAAATCACCAAAATGTGCAGCGCACATAGTAGGCATTCAATGAATATTAAGTGACTGCATAGACAAATGATTCCTACCTTTGTCATTATTTTGTGGGGTTTCCCTTTTTTGTTACATATTTATCTGTTGTGCAATCTCCTCTACGGTAATTCCATTATTTTCACCAAACCCTGAAGAATGCCATTAAAAACATAGACAAGGTGCCCCAACCGAATAGCTCAGTTGGTTGGAACGTCATCCCATATACCAAAAAGGTTGCAGGTTCAATCCCCGCAACTGATGGATGTTTCTCTCTCACATCAGTGTTTTTCTCTGTCTCCGTGTCTGTCTGTCTCTCTCTCTCCATTTCTTTTTTTCTCTCTCTCCCTCTCTCTCTCAAATCAATAAAAACATATCCTTGGGTGAGGACTAAAAAAAACACACACATGCGCGCACACACGCACACACACATAGACAACGCTTTTCTTTTACTTGGAGCATGTTCAAAGGCTAAAGGTATTCCTATATGTGAACAGAGGAATTTCTATTGGTTGATATATGACTGAAAGTTTGTGTCCCTCCAAAATTCATATGCTGAAGTCCTGAAACCCAACGTGTTGCTATGAAATCATGGGGGTGGGATCCTTATGATGAGATTTGTGCCCTTTCAAGAAGAAACACAAGAGAGTTATTGTCCCTCTTTCCACACACACCAGGGAAAGGCCATGTGAGGATACAGTGAGAAGGCAGCCACCTGCAAGCCAGGGAGAGAGCCCTCACCAGGAACAGACCCTTCTGGACCTTTGATCTGGAACTTCTAACCTCTGAAACTGTGAGAAAATAAATTCTGTTATTTAAGCCACTAGTCTATGATTTTGTGATGACAACCTAACAAGACTAAGACAGTTGAGAATGCTTTTGGCAGCACATAATAAAAAAGTCAACTTTTATTAGTTAGTATGTAATAAAGACATTTTTATCCCACACAATAAGAGGATGTTAGGATGTTTATAGTTCCAAACACTCAACAGTATTATCACAAACTCAAAACCTTTTTTTTTTATTTTATTTATTTTATTTTATTTTTTTAAATTAAATCTTTATTGTTCAGATTATTACATTTGTTCCTCTTTTTTTCCCCCCCATAACTCCCCTCCTCCCAGTTCCCGCCCCACCCTCCGCCCTCACTCCCCACCCACTGTCCTCATCCATAGGTGCACGATTTTTGTCCAGTCTCTTCCCGCATCTCCCACACCCCTTTCCCCCCCAGGAATAGTCAGTCCATTCCCTTTCTATGTCCCTGATTCTATTATAATCAACAGTTCATTCTGTTCATCAGATTATTTATTCACTTGATTCTTAGATTCACTTGTTGATAGATGCATATTTGTTGTTCATAATTTGTATCTTTACCTTTTTCTTCCTCTTCCTCTTCTTAAAGGATACCTTTCAGCATTTCATATAATCCTGGTTTGGTGGTGATGAACTCCTTTAGCTTTTCCTTATCTGTGAAGCTCTTTATCTGGCCTTCAATTCTGAATGATAGCTTTGCTGGATAAAGTAATCTTGGTTGTAGGTTCTTGGTATTCATCACTTTGAATATTTCTTGCCACTCCCTTCTGGCCTGCAAAGTTTCTGTTGAGAAATCAGCTGACAGTCGTATGGGTATTCCCTTGTAGGTAACTGAGTTTCTTTCTCTTGCTGTTTTTAAGATTCTCTCTTTATCTTTTGCTCTTGGCATTTTAATTATGATGTGTCTTGGTGTGGTCCTCTTTGGATTCCTTTTGTTTGGGGTTCTCCGTGCTTCTTGGACCTGTAAGTCCATTTCTTTCACCAGGTGGGGGAAGTTTTCTGTCATTATTTCTTCAAATAGGTTTTCAATATCTTGCTCTCTCTCATCTTCTGGCACCCCTATAATTCTGATGTTGGTACGCTTGAAGCTGTCCCAGAGGCTCCTTACACTATCCTCACATTTTTGGATTCTTTTTTCATTTTGCTTTTCCGGTTGGGTGTTTTTTGCTTCCTCGCATTTCAAATCATTGACTTGATTCTTGCGCTCCTCTGGTCTGCTGTCGGGAGTCTGTATAATATTCGTTATTTCAGTCCGTGTATGCTTAATTTCTAGTTGGTTCCCCAATATAAGATCAAGGGTCTCATTAGTTTTCTTGTAGATCTCATTAAGTTTATCGGCGGCTTCTAAACAGTTCTTGAGAGACCTTAAAAGTGTGGTTCTGAACTCTATATCTTCCATTGACAATTTTGTCCTGTTTCTTTGTCTCCGCATTTTGTTATGCTTCCTTGGTGCACCCCCTAGTGGTCTTTGTTCGCAGTCTTATAGTTAAGCCTTGATTGTTGTAGCTAATACCAGGGAGGGTTTGACCTCCAGGCCAAGTGGCTATGAGAATCAGCTGTGTCAGCAGTGAGAGAACTTCTGTCCTCTAGGGAGGTGCTAATCTAGCCTTTGCCTGAGGCTATCTGGCAAATGCCTCTGTGCAGGGCTTGGGCGGGGCGGGTCGCACAGGATCAACAGGGTGGGCCGGAGAGAGCAGTTATGGCGGCTCTCAGTCCTGTCCCCAGGGGCTCTGCCTCTCTGAGTCCCAGCACCCGCTGTAAAGCTCAGAGAGAAAGCTGCACTCGCTCTGACCGAAGCCAGACAGTCCCGCTTCTCCCGTTTGAGTCCGGGTCCCTAAAGACTCGCCCGTATCTGGAGCTCAGAGTCTGCGACTCCCTCCCGATTGAAAAAGCCAACCGCGCCCTCCGCCGCCAGCCTGCTCCGCGCACTCCGCACCTCAGAATTTGACTTCAGCACTGCGCCTCCTCTGAGTGTCCGTATGCGTTTCTCTTTCCTCCTAGTTGTAGGACTTCCACTCAGCCAGCGTTCCTGTGGTTCTGGGTGATGTCCCTTCCGTTTTTTGGTTTCACTTTTGAAGTAGTTGTTCAAAGCAGCAAACTCGGCGTTAACCTATGCCGCCATCTTGGTTCTCCCACAAACTCAAAACCTTTTTGTCCTTCTGTTCTGCTGAGTGTGGTGGCCTTTGTCCCTGTGCTTGTTACTCTATTGTTATAACTGATAAAGTATCCAGTCAGGAAGAGAAATGAGAATAGGTGGTATATATAAGCCCAGTCTCTTTTTTAGGAAGAAAACTATTTCCTAGGAGCCCCTCAGTGTACTTGCCCATAAATATCATTGGCTGTGATTCTGTCACATGCCACCTTAGCTTCAGAGGTTAGGAAGATGATTACCAAACAAAGAAGATTGCCAAGTAGACTTAGACCAATCATGATCCATCCCCTGAGAATGGGCACACTGCCACCTGAATAAAAATCTGGACTTTGTTAGCAAAGAAGAAGGGCCAGAATGGTCATTGAATGGATAGTGTCTGCCACCACTTCTCTGTTGTCTCAGTATTATCAATGGGTATGTTTCTCTGTTTTCCCCCAAACACTCCATATTGAGGCTATTCTAAACTAAAAGCTCACATTTTAGTAGTCCTCCTTCTGTGCTGTGTTAGCCATATGGTAACTTGAAATAACACCTACATTTATTATATGTAAAATCCACAAGCTAAAAAAAAGCATCCATGGAAATATATAATTAGGAATTTATAAAACATGATAGATTCTGGAAGTCTTTCCCAGTGATTCTATACACTGAGATTATACAGGGAGTTTTTACACAACACCAATTCTCCAAATCAGACCAGGTAAGTCAGAATCTCTGAGTGGGGCCCTAGCATTGGTAAAGCTTCCCATGTTATTCCAATGTGCAGCTAGAGTTGAGAACTGTTGCAAGAAAGATGTATAGGAAGCAAATATAAAAATCATTTCTACTTTTAGCTTCTCTGGAAACCTGTTCCTAGCCAATGAGAGATTTTCTCATTGTTTCTCAATACCCATATTTACTTATTCATTAAGACAGTACGTATATCTATACCATGTACATATAGGTCTGTATGCAATGTTGTGGATATTTTTTTAAAATTTTAAAATAGCTTACATTTCAAAATTTTTCTGTTCTACTGGGATAAATCAGTGAAAGATTTCCATTTAAACAAGATCATATTTGTTGAGTACCAAAATGAGGGGTACAGATAGTATGGGCTTCAGGAGGTTATATGAGAGACAAATAAATGTGGACTAGAATGGTCAGTAAAGGCTTCCTACAGGTATTGGGAAAATTTGGATAGGCAATGGTGAGGAAGGAAGCAGCCATATTTGTTACGGATCACAATGTGCTAACTCTACTATATTTGGAATCTAGCCATGTCAGTTGGTTCTCTGGTGTAGGAGATAAGACTAAAAACGTTGAAGACACTGATGTTTTGATGGTTTAGATGTCACCAATCTAAAGAAAAGAATGGTCAAAGGAGGCCCTAAAATACTAAGTTTGCAGGAAAAAAAATTCAGGAAAGAGCTCAATTGAGGCTGAGAAATAAGTTAAAAGTATTCAGTAGGTAATTGGGAAAAAAGGAGTATGCCTGGGACACAGTTGTGTTTGGGGCCTAGAGATGATGTGGAAGCTGTGAAAGTGAACACAGAATTCGAAAACTAGAAGCCAGGCTTTCAAATATGTCAGAGCACTCAAACAAAATCCCTTCCAGAACTCTCTGGTGTCTTCCCAGGCTGGAGACTTAGACATGACCCTGTAGTAAAGAGCTTGGTCCTACACTCTTGTAAAGAATGCTGCAATTAGGACACTTCAAGGAGAAATGCAACTGGAAGGAGCACAAGATATGATCTGGTCCATGCTCCCTATTTGCTAATGTGGCAGCCAGCTCTCCCAGTTTAAGTGACTTTACCAAACTCACAGAGGGTTAGTAGAGATCAAGTCTACAGACTTACTGGGTATAACAACTATGTTTATTTTTACTTTATTAAAAGTCAGGATGATGCACAAAGGCCATTTGCTGTTTAACCGGTAGTTTATTCTTTATTTTTCATTTTTATTTCATTCAGCAAATATGCATGGTAAGTATTAGGAATGTAGGAGATGGACCTGTTTGGCTGATGAGTTCCATTTACCCTAATTATAACCTGTGTCATTAACTCCCAAGGCCCAGTAGCCTTAAATGATGCTAAGAACCTAGCATGCTGGGGATTTACTAATCCTTCTTATGTTTTTTCTTATCCTGGTCTGAGGCCTGATAGCAAATGGAGTTTTATCTGTGTGTATGTGGTTATTAATTTGTCTACGTGTATTTTTAATTTATTATTTAAATAACTTATTAAATAGGAACTACATTCTTAGAATTAAGAAAGTACAAAAGGTACACAGTAAAAATTCTCTCTGTGTGTCTTAGACCTACCCAGTGCCCTTACCCAAATGGCAATCTGTGTTATCCAGTTTTTATGTTTCCTTTTAGTGATATTTTATGCAGGTTCTAGCAAATTCATGGAGGTATATACTCCCCTCCCATTTTTACACAAATAGCACACTATAATCCTTGCTCAACACTTTTTTGAACAATATATTGATGGTCTTTCTGGACCTCTCCTGCCATCTATTTCATTTTTCTGCAATTGTTAGTGAAGGAATTTCTATGTAGGATAGTCCTCAGTCATTTCTATCCCATTCTTGGATAAACCATGATAAATATTTTGGCCATTTCTAGTCTTTTACTATTACAAGGCTGCAGTGTATACCCTTTTACATGTGCTATTTCACATATGTGCAGTGATATCTGGGGGGCAAATTCATAGAGGTAGACTTGCCAAGTCAAAGGGTATGTGCATGTCATTTTAATGGATCTTGGAAAATTGTATCCCATACAGGTTGTGCCAGTTTCCACCACCACCAGCAATGTATACAAAAACTTGTTTTGCCAAATTTTC